CTGACTTCGTAGAAAACCGTAACATCGGCCATTTTGGAAAAGAGAAAAACGATGGATTTACTAGGGAGGGAGGAAGAGAGGAAGGGAGGGAGGGAGGAAGGAAGGAAGGAGGGAAGCAAGCAAGCAAGCAAGCAAGCAAGCAAGCAAGCCATCTCTTCCCAGGAGAGGCTAGAACTATCTTTTCTGGTTTTTGGCTGGCGCTGAGTGGAATGACTGGTTTGGGAGAGGAGGGACTGGGTTCAGCTGTGGTGCCTTGTTGTAAAAGGCAGCCTGGTCTTTGCTACTGATATGAAAGATAGAGCCCAGGTCTCAAGCCTACATTCAGTGTACCTTTGCCACACGGTGCCCGTATGAGTGCCGTCGGCTAAGAGGAGGGTGAGGGATTCTTTTCAGCCTGAGAATGAGTGTGTATGAGTGAGGCGGTGTCCACCTTCTCCACTTAAAGTCATTGCAGTTTCTTCACCCCCACCCCCCAAAAAAATCAGAGGGTTAAATGTTACATTTCATAAAACTAACCAAAGTTCTGTCTACTGATGCAGCACAAGAGATGTTAAAAAGAAAAAAAAAAGAAAAGATGCTCTTTATGGTTTTTTTTTTGTTGTTGTTTTTAATTATTATCTCTTAGGGAAAACACTGACGAATGGTCAGAGCTCCCATCCTGATATTTTCAACCCGGCGCCTTTCCTAATAATATGGTTCAACTGTGAATGCAGAAGTGGGAGGAAGGGGGAGAAAAAGAAAACTCTGGAGTTAGAGGATATAGAAAAAATGAAAACCCAATTGTTACAAATGAAGAATACAGACTTCAAAGACAAAGAAGCCACAAGCCAAACAAACCAAAAGTTACAAACGCTCCGAATTGGCAGCACAAAAGACAAGCTCTCCCATGACCTGGATTGTGGCAACCTGAACGCCCCCAGAACATTGTGCTAAAGAGTTTAGAAAACAAATATAGAATGAAAGTAAACACATATGCACAAAACAGCAGACTTCACGTAACTATTTTGGATGGCAAACAATGACAAATTTAATGTGCAAACAATCTAATAAAATAACTATTTGGGGAAAAAAGTCCCTGCTTTAGTGTCAGAAG